CCCACGGAGCAACTTATTTTTTCCTGTAATGCACTTTCAATATCTTTACTTGCTTTCCTAGGAGTAGTGTTAGGTTGTAAGTAGAATTCATTCATCAATATATCATACGACCCTTGATTTTCAAGGCGCCGGAGCACCATCCTTGTTGTTTGTTCATTCACCCCATATATCACACGACCGTCGCTCCCTAAGCAGCGCGCCGGAGCACCGCCCAAAATCCATCACCAACACCATCACTCGACGGCCTTGTAGTTCTGGCCGTGAACCTAACAACCGAGACCAGTTCCTCTCTCGGCTACAATCGTTTGACTAGGAAGACAGATCAAACAGGCGCACCATTCATCCATCCAACCCTCATCGAAACATCAACGCACGGTAAACCGTGCTGGCACGCCCGCGCACAACCGCACCGCACCCAAAAGCAGGAAACCCCGTGTTAACGCACCTCCCCTCGGCCCGGAACTCCAGGCCGTGAGATTTGCGCGGCAGACATGGAGAAGCTCATTTTTTCGCTTGTGGTTTCCGCGAGAAAACTAAGGCCTTACTATCAAGCTCACCGAATAATTGTCATGACAGAATTTCCTTTGCGATCGATCCTCCACAACCTCGACGCCTCTCCGCGACTTATGAAATGGGCGATCAAACTCAGTCAATACGACCTCCTCTATCGGCCGAAGACTGCTATAAAAGCTCAGGCTTTAGCAGATTTTGTTGTAGAGTTTACTTCGACAGCTGAAGAAGATAGGCTGGTCACGAATAGCAAGGAAAAACCGGACGATACCTCCCCCATCGATTCAAACCTTCCTAAAGACATGTGGCAGTTTCATGTAGACGGAGCGTCAAATCACAAAGGAGTGAGGGCAAGCGTCGTCATAATCACCCTAAATGGAACCTTGTTGGAGCAAGCAATCACACTTAGTTTCCCAACCTCGAACAACGAGGCATTGCTCGCTGGCCTGCGCTTGGCGAAGGAGCTAGCGATCAAGAAGCTAGCCATCTACTCAGATTCCCAGTTGATCACGAATCAAGCGTCAGGTGCCCCGGGCAGAGAATGCGCATGCAGATTCACTGGCAAGCCTAGGATCAGCGCTGGATACCCAGTTTAGACACTCCATCCTAGTCGAACACCTTGACTGATCAAGCATCAAAGAAATAGAGCCGATAAACACAATGCAGATCAATGAGGATCCCAATTGTCAAGACCCCATCATCGACTACTTGATGAATGGAAATCTGCCAACGAATAAGTCTGAAGCTAGGAAAGTCCAGTAGAAAGCCGTGAGATACTACATGCAAGGTGACAAGCTCATTCGCAGATCATACTCTGGCCCTCATCTCACTTGCATAAAGTACCCTCAAACACTTGAGGTTCTTTGCAAGATTCGCGACGGCGAGTGTGGCAAACACTCTGGGGGCAAATCACTCTCCCATAAGGCTCTAAACATAGGCTACTTCTGGCATACCATTGTTTGTGCCTGATAAATCACGGCCATGAGCAGGCCGAAGGAGCCCTTTATCTCGGCCCTGGCACTTGTTTGCAGAGGCTGAAACGCAGCGTTTCGCCAGGGTACTTCGCCTTCTTAAAAATAAAAGAAGGAAATGCTAAGGCACGATCATCTCGGCCTCAAGCATAGACCGGGGCCGAGGCCGAACAAATTTGCGGCCAAGGCATTAAAGGCAAATCATCACGTGACAGCAGGGTCCCAGGCTTCATTTAATGAAGTAGTGCCTGTTTAATGCAGCAAAACCCATTGGCCACAAAGTAGCATTTAATGCATGAGGGAAGGTGGGAAGTGACTGAAGTCAGGATTTGGTGATGAAGATCAGAGTGATTAGACGTGGACATTCTCACAAAGATTCTGACAGCTTGAGATGTTGGTTCACCAGCTATCCAGGCAATAAATGCGTCTCCACGGCCAGAGGTTCAAAACCCACGATTGAGCGCGGCGGCCGAGATTCACCAGGATTTCTGGGGTCTCATCACCATACTTCACGATCCCAAATGTCGATTGGATTGCCCACTTGCGCTAATCAGACTCCACTATGCGTAAATTCAGCCTCGATTACTCATCCAGGGACTCTTCCTATAAATACAAGACTCGAGCTACTTTCAAAGGGTTCAAACACCAAAACAAGCCTCCCACGGAGCAACTTATTTTCTTCTGTAATGCACTTTCAATATCTTTACTTGCTTTCCCAGGAGTAGTGTTAGGTTGTAAGCAGAATCCATTTATCAATACATCAT